GGGATGGAGTTAGCTTTTGCTGCTCTTATATTGGCATGCTTGCATTCTTTTGTATCACCTGATGCACAAGGTATGATCTTCATCTAACATTTTAATTCATAATGTTTATGCATTGTTACTTCATTTTAATGGTATCTCCACTTTTCAAAGAAAGAGAAACATAGATGGGGCTCATAGCTGTTGGCCTCTAGGCATCATCATTAATAAGATATTGTAATTTCTCGTACCATTACATGATAATTTGCTTCCTTGCTCTCTCTCTCTCTCTCTCTCCATGAAGGAATTTGATTACACTATGATGCAGAACATGCACGTTCTAAATTTGGCATGAAGATTTTATTTATTTTTTAATATTTATGTTTATTTATTTTTATTATAGTTTAATTAGGACCCTAGTAATATTTGGTTTCTTATTTTTAGGATTTTAGTTTCTTTTTCTATTAGGATTTAGTTTCCTATTTTGCGGAACGTGCTCACACCTCTCTTTTGTTCTTTTCCAAGGTGCTGTTGCAAGTTGAGACCTACAATGAAAAGTTTTGTCCTCAAAATGGACATACTATCCATTTACTTTGCTGGAATTTGTTATTGAAATTAATACGTATAAGAATTAACTAGTGTATTCCTCTTATGTTTGCGGGGAATTGGCACCTCTTATGTTTGCTTGTACCCATTTTCCAGAAATTACTTTGTAATTCTCATTGGTTTTGGGTGATACATTAATTTGATGGTTCACAATCATGAGGTTTGTTTCAGGGGATGCCCTCTATGCATTGAGGAAATCACTGAATGCTTCAGTTGATCAGCTCAAGGATTGGAATCCAAATCAAGTTAGTCCATCCACTTGGTCCAAAGTTAGTTGTATCAGCAATAATGTCGTTTCTGTGTAAGTAATGTTTTTTTAACCTTCGGACCTTAGTATGTGCACTACTATAATGTTGCTAGCATTTCAATGCAGGTATGGCATATGAATCAAGTCTTCGCTCTTTAGCTGCCAATCTTCGAATTTATATCTGGTATCTAATCAAGTGTCTTATTTTTTCGCAGATCATTGACGTCCATGGGATTTTCTGGAATCTTATCTCCTAAAATCGAAGTTTTGAAGACTCTTCAAACACTGTATGTTTACGGAATTACAGTATGGGTCTAATTTATATGCCTAAATCCATCTGTGTTAGCCTTTAGCGATGAACTAATATTATTGAGAGGGTTGAAGATTCCATATCTAAATTCCATAGAATAATATGGCATGTTTTATATTTAATTCATGTGGACTGTCTGAGATAACATTAGTATATACAAATACAAGCTAATTCTAGTGAAAGTTAAGTCACAACTGAAGTTAAATGAAATAATAATTCAATTGATTTGACTCTTCGAGAATAGCAATCTTGGTGGTTATTGCATCCTCATTTTGTTATTATTAGTATCTCCATTGCTTTCTCATATGGTTTTGTCTGCATTTTGTGTTTTACGCATTTTGGAGGTGGCTCTGTGAGACTCTGTTGAAGGATATGTCAACAGTGCATGGAATTTTTCTAGTAGAGTTACCTCAGTGAAATTGTTTTTGCACTTTTCTCTTGTATTCTTCTTTGAAGACCATGTTTGTTGGCATCCATTGTTCTGATATAGACTATTATAAACATCTGTAATACTTCAATACCATCACATTATTGTAATTTGTAAATTGAAACTTTTTACAAAATTTGTGAATACTGTGAGCCATGATGTTTGTCAGATAATGCATATATATGTTTCACTAACTATCTAGGGAGCACGTATATGGATATAGGATATGGATATGAAACAATACGGTCATGCTGACACGACAATTGTAAAAAAAATAGGGAGGCAACATGGCAAGGACAACACAACAAATAAATAAATATTTTTATATGTATACATGAAAATAAGGCCAAACTTGATTGGAAACCAAGTTTATGATGTGCACATTTATACAACTAATGTATTGGCTCAATCCTCTAATAATCAGCAAGTTTGCTAACCCAATTAAATTAGCACCAAAAATTACAAACCCAATTAAATAAGAAGATCAAAACCACAAAGGGACAAAACACTAAAATTAAATGTATTTGATTATCTCCTTACACCCCCTGACCTTTCAATTCCTACTTCTCTTTTTCCTTTCTTAACTCTTCTTTTCTCTTACACATCTCTTTTGAAAAACTGATAATCATAGTATTTTGATCATAAAAAAAAAGCAATGGATGAAGAAACGGTGGTGAAAAACCATCAAAAATGTGAAATGGTGATTTTTTTATTTTATTTTAGTTTGGTAGGTTTTTGTTTCGATTTTCTAGGTTGGCGTGTGACTTTTGTTCGGTGTTTTGAAATTGAACAAAATAACATAGTCCGACATCACAGTGCCGAAAACAAAATATAAGTCTAGCATTCTATATATTACCGAACAACCCCAAATTATTATTTATAAAAAAAGTGGCTCTGTAAATGTATAGCAACAGAACGCTAGACAAATATATTTTTTCCAGCAAGATAACACTGGACAAATGTAATCTGTATACTATTGTGTGACTAAACAGACACTTCACAGTGGGCTTCACTGACTTTGTTATGAATCAAATTGAAATTTTCCAATTGTATGGCAACATAATGCTGGGAAAAACTATTTTGTCTGGTAACACAACACTGGATTAATTAAAATTCACTAGCATTTTATTACCGAACAAACCTAGCACAAACTATTACCACGTCATTTGGGAGGATGTGGCTATGTAAATGTATAGCCACAAAAGGCTGGACAAAACCATTTATTCCGGCATTATAGTACCGAATTTTTGTAAATTGTTTTGCATTGTGTGACCGAACATGCACTTCAATGTGGCTCTGGAAATATATAGTAACTAAATATTGAAGGGATCTATTGTTTTCGGCAACTGAACACCGAAATAATTCAAATTGTTTATCTGTATGACGCTGAACTGGCTCATAACACTGAAAAAAACAATGTTACTTCCAGCAAATGGTACCATATCCCTCCAAAACACTTTAATACCATTACAATGCATTACAAACAATAACAAATCCATATGTTTGCCAAAATAAGTTTCCATTGACATAAATAATGAATACAAAATAGATGTGAAGTTGTTTAACAAATCCATATCCTCCACACCAATATCGTCGTCAACATAATCATTATTCACATCCACATGGTCATCCTCCTCCACAGGGACATTCACTTCCACTGGTTCAGGTTCTGTTTGCCTAGCACGTCTTCTGTTGGATGTCGTTGGTCTCTTACGTGAGACACCACTAATCATTTCTGTGGAAAAAAAAACATTAAACCCAATATCAACAAAAACTCGAATATATTAAATGACTGATGTAAACAATATCAGCAAAGAAACCATAATTTCATAGATAAAAGGAGCCATTATGACTTCTTGTTAACTAAATTTCTGGAAATGTTTTCAGTCCCCTGGTAGGATATTAGTTGCCAAAATGCCCATAAAGGAGCTTGTGCGCAAATAATAGTAAGGAACTTGGGCAATGTGGGCGAATAATAGTATAGCAGTACCATACTTCTATTAAGCAAATTGTAAGAATTCAATTTGCAAAGTTTTAGAGGAGGAAAAATAAGTTGGGACTAATGCTCTTTAAGTACAACTGGAGATACATTTCATTTTTATTGGCATGCAACTGGAGATACATTCATCATTTTTAAATGGGCCTACTTTTTTCAACTCTCAGTCCCTCCGATGCATCAGAAGTGACTTGGTGCTGCTTTCAATAGACACACTCGCTTTGAGTTTTTTTTTTTGGCACCTTCACTTGATTGACCATTACCTTCCACTTGTGGCATACTTGAAAACAAATATTCCTTCTTCGACTTACACGATTTCACATTCATTCCCCTCTTTAAGTGGCTTTGTCTTGTTGCCTTGTATTGTTTCAATTATTCTGTGAGAACATCAATGATATACTTGTCTCTTTATACACATTTTCCTCATAAACTATACCTCAAAATCATTTGCTTCCATGTCAATTCATTGTAATTCTACCCTCTTCCCCTTCCTAAAACTATCTACGATAGCACTGATTTACATATCTGCTAATTCAGTTTTCTCGAGTAGGCTTCTTAACCTGTTGTATTCATTACTTCCTCCTCATCTTGTGACTCCTTGACTTAAATGTTAAATCTACTGTCTTGGAATTTGCACGGTAATCTACAATAGTTGAGATAATTTTTCAGTTATTTTAATAAGGTAACAATAATGCAACATCTTTTTTTGTTTTCATCAGCTCCCTAACTCTCCACAACTTGTTAATTGCTACATCTATTGGGATTTGGGTGGAAAAACAACAATTGTACTACAAAATTTAACAGCTTGTAGCACAAAGGCTCCTCTTTTCAACTTTTTCCCAAAAAAAAAAAGACAAAATTTGAAGTGTCTTTCTTTGTTCAGGGTAATTCTATACAGACAAAATTATATGCAGAAACTTCATACATAAGAATATTAGAAGGCCCACAGCTGTGTCTATAATTGCAAAAAAAATTCATTAGCATTTTCCTTTCCAATAATACTACAAAAGGAATCAATCTCAATAAAATCATAGAATCACTCTTCTTTTCCTTGTTTGAGCAGGTTAAACCATTCAGAACAAAAAGAGAAGTGGATCAATGGCTTTTTAGCAATTCCATGCAATGCCCTGGAGCTCTGCATTTTGTAGAAAGAAATGCTATTGTAATAAGCTATGGTTTACAAACTAATTCTACTCTGGTTGGAAAGCAAGATCATTTTGAAGATCCCACATTCAAATTCCAAATTCCTCTTCAAATTGCAGCAGAGCGTGAAATTGCAAGGTCTTTGATTGGAGGTATTAAATATCACAATTTTATGTGATACTAGTTAAATCTTAATATGTGATGAAATGCATCACTAACTCCAATCTCCACAACCTCAGATCCAAAATTTAGCTGGGTTGTCAGTCTGAAGGAATTTGCACACCCTGCGCTGCAGATTTTCTCTGCTGTGGGTACAGTAGGACCAACTTTTTTCCTTGTAATTGCCATGTTTGGTTTTGTCTTTCAAATTAGTTCTTTGATTGCGGAGAAAGAACTCAAACTTCGCCAGGTATAGACTTCTTACCCAATTTGATCATAAAACAAAATCTTGCATTCACAATCAGAACAGTTTTCAATTTTTTATACTCACATTTCCCTAACAGGCAATGACTATGATGGGTCTTTATGATACTGCATATTGGTTCTCGTGGCTCACGTGGGAAGGGATCATCACGCTTATTTCATCACTTCTCACAGTTCTCTTTGGAATGATGTTTCAATTTGATTTTTTCAAGCACAATTGCTTTGTAGTTGTGTTCCTTCTTTTCTTTCTTTTCCAATTCAATATGGTAAGCTTCATTCCAGCAGTAATAAATTTTAACCCAATTTATTTATCCTTAGGCAATGTCATTTTCTTCCTGATCAAGCAAACCTCATTTTTGGATTGTGGTGGCTGATCTGTCTTTCATGGTTTCTGATGCTAGATTGGTTTTTCCTTCATGCTGTCGGCCTTCATTAGCAAGTCATCTTCATCAACAACTGCAGGTTTCTCCATATTTATTATCGGTTTTCTAACTCAGGCAAGTCTCCCTCCATTAAATTCTGGAACATATGTTAATGACCCAATCGTCATAATGGACCATTTTAATCTTTGCAGGTTATTACACAATTTGGATTTCCGTATAGTTCCAACTTCTCCAGTCTTTATCGGATCATCTGGTCACTGTTCCCACCAAACCTTCTTGCTCAAGGTCTTAAATTGCTTTCTGATGCAACTGCCACTCCTCAAGATCCAGGAATCAGTTGGAGTAGAAAAGGGAAATGTGCACCAAATGATAATGAGTGTGTTGTCACAATTGTATGTTCTCTAATCGCAACTTGAAAACCAAATATTTGCAATCCTGGTTGTCCATACCTTCTCCCCTCTTTCCTATCCCCTCTGTGTGTGTATTTTGTGTGGGCATGACCATTTGTGTATTAATCATTCTTGCATCACTTTTGTCTCCAACAAAGCTCAATAGTGGCCTTGTAATTAACCATTTGCATACTTTCATGTTTTTTGCAGAGTGAGATTTATATATGGCTCATTTCAACATTCCTTCTGTGGTTTGTTCTGGCAATCTACTTTGACAATATTAACCCAAACTCATCTGGTGTGAGAAAATCGGTGCTCTACTTTTTAAACCCTGGATATTGGACAGGGAAAGGTGGAAACAAGGTGGCAGGTAATTGAATTTGAACTAATAATCCATTTTCCTTAATTCTCTTGGTCAGCTGGTATTAGTGACTGAATGGTTTATCTCATTCTTCTTTTAGAGGGCGGCATTTGTAGCTGCACTAGTTCAGTTCCCCCAATGGAAGATATTACTCCAGATGATGAGGATGTACTTGAAGAGGAAAACACTGTGAAAAAAGAAGCGAAGGAAGGTGCAGTTGATCCAAATATTGCTGTTCAAATACGTGGTCTTGTAAAGGTATATCCTGGTGCAACAAAGATTGGTTGCTGTAAATGTAAGAAGACCTCGCATTATCATGCTCTCAAGGTAAAATGTCCTCTCACTTTGTGCGCTTAGTAAATTTAAGGCTAATGGTTAGGGGCAAGAGGAATTTATTGCTCAAATAAGCACTTCATTTTGGCATCTACACCTAGGTGTGGGGTTCCATTTGATTGGTTTTGTCACACATAACACCCCACCCCCCCC